GTTTCCATGTGTTCTCTCTATCCCTCAGCTTCATCACTATATTGTGGTAACTTTATTCCCTTATCCCAACTCACTGCCATCACCTCTCCACAAGCCTCTTCTTACCACTTTTTCTTTCACCCATATCCTATTCATTTTTTTCTTCACTTGTCATTTGCCTTGCTTCTTTGCACTGTCTCTCTTTATCAGCCAAACCATCTTTCTTCTCTTTAAACCTCTCCTAATCAAACCTTAATTTTCTTTTTTTCCAAAACACATCCGTCACACATCATCGGTTTCCTATTTGGAACTATACTTTCTCTGCTACCAGTTAATACTCCATCAGCTTTTCTTTTCACTTATCAAACTCTAGCACCTGTTTTCTGCTGTTTTGTATTTATTACAAAGCTGATGGAGGAAATTCAGACCATAAAATTAAACGTATGCTTAGATCTCCCTCTGAAAACTGTAGGCTTCAGACAGCTTAACTTTGGTGAGATTGCTTCCTAGAGCAAACTCTGTTCTCTTCCACTTAACACCATGCCAGGCAATAGTCAATACAATCCTGTTCAAAAGACAGGATATGTATCAAAACACAAGTAAAGTAGTCTAGAAGAGGACCATAAAATAATTCAAAGTGGGGAAAGTGGAGATTCCCCCCCTCCTTATCTCAAAATGGTAGAAGGTTTTGCCATGAACCTGAAGAGTAAAAATTGGGGGTAGGGGAAAGAGCAATTTCTACAATGCAAAGTGAAATTATAGAATATGCTGTGATAATATATGGTATATGACTCTCAATGTGGATTATACAAATTAATAGGGAAGATTATCAGTGCCCTCTGTTCATAATGGTTACATCCTATGTCCATTATCAATATATTATACCTCTTAATACAAATTGTGGGAAGCCACAAATTGCCAGTTGTAAGCAATCAGATCAATATGTGAAAGGTTCAAGTAGGCTACTTTATTATATTCTACCTATAGTACAAGAATCTCTGCAGACAGCTCGCCCTCCCTTGGGAACAAACAGATAAAGTTCCATGGAACTGGGGGGTGGGGAGGGATCAGTCCTAGGTCTCTCGCAGCTATGCAATAACTCAAGTCTAACTCCCTGTTTGATCCCTTCTCCTTGCCTGGCTGGTAATTTCCCAACACAAATTCTTATATGGTGCTATTGTTTTATGTCCTATTTCTCCTAGGAATAGCTTTGACCATTATGAGAACATTTTATGCATGCAAAAGATCCACTGAAAACCCTTAATGAGGAAAGACTAGAACCAAGCAAACAAGGATATTTCCAAAACCATACTTTTACTACTGAAATATTCAATACCTTACCTATTTTTTGTCCTTGAAGAATATCAAATTGGTTTATTCCATCCACAAATAAACATGGATTTCTGGCCCATGCCTTTGATGGAAAGTGAAAAACAATATTCATTCATTTTTTATTAAACAATTATTTAATTAATTATTAATACCAGTAGCAGTAATTTAAATAATTATTTATCCTAGCTTCTATATAAATCAAAAAAGAAAGGAAGTCCTTTGGGTCCTGGTTAAGAGACTCAGGGAAATAGAAGACATATATTCAATTGGAAGTAATTTTCATACTATACCTACATGTTGATCTGGAAAACCCTAAAACCTAAGATCTAGAACTGTACATGCATACTCTCATCATCTGTGCCGACTGCTTTGAAACTAGACATGCATCTGGAAACTATAGCTATCAGTGAGATATATACACCAAAGAAATTATTTAGAACAGGTTTGTTTCTTGCTACAAAAACTTCCAACTTCTTCTACCAATATGGAATCCAATTTAATGAATTATGCTAGAAGAGAGATTTAGAATGTACTTCATTCCATTTGAAGATATTGCATTATATCAAAAATGGAGCACTCAGTGTGCTTTAACATCTTTGTTTACTGGCTTGAAAGAAACTGCTGGAGTTATCCAGCTGAGCTATGTTACCTACGGCAAAAAATTATTTATCTAGACATCCATTGTTAGTCTCACTCTTTATTTCTTCAAATAAAATAAAATAAAATCAGATATCTGCAAAAACCTCAGTGATTACTCTTTCATATCTTTCCTAGTCAATTTAATTAACTGTCAGGGACTCCTCAAGGGTAGAATTCCCACTCCTACTCTCCTTGGAAAGCCACATAGGTTTATATTGCTCTAACTTAAAGGAAAGATTATGAATTGGACTTCACCCAGTCAGGTCTTGCTTAATTGCCTGAGGTGAGATCCTGTTTGGCCATCTGTAAAGTATTTGAGCCTGTGAATCACAAGAGAATAATAGTATAGGCAGCCAGTGTGCAAATTAGTTTCATGCCCCTTTTTAATGTTTGGGGGAAGGCAACATGTGGTTGGGTCCAAGTAATGGCAAATTCATTCTTTAATGAGGTTCCATCTGTTCTGAAAAAAGTGGTGGTGTGACTTCTTATCAAGAAACATGACTGTATCCAATAGTGTTAGATAATTTACAGCCTCCAACCTTCCATTTTGGGATAGGTTTGGGGAGCTGATGGTGGTGCCTGATGGGAGTAGCTTATCTGGATCTTTTCAGTCAGGTTTCAACTCTGAATATAGTACTGAGGGTGCCATTGCTTATGCTAGTGGATGTCTGGCTTGTGATATGATTCTCTTAATCCTTCTTGATCCCTTAGTAACTATCAATGCCATCTATCATTGTAACTTTCTGTACTGTGTTTGAATGCTGAGTATGGTTCTCCTCCTTTCTCTATGGTTAGTTTCAGTTAGCATTAATAAAGAGAAGAAATTAGGATCTTGCTTTATGGGATTCTTCAATGGTCAACACTTTTATTTCTTCTGTTTAGCCTCTAAATGAGGCAATTGAATAAGAGAATCTGACAGCATGGAATCAGGTATCAACAATATACATAATTGCATATTCTCAACCTCAGACCAACTAAGTGATACTACTGAGCTTCTGTCTCATTGACTGGAGTTAGTTAAAGTTTGTATGGGGAGGAACAGGCTTAGATTCAACCCTAGCAAGTCTGAGTAACTATCAATTCAACAATCCTCTGTTTCAGGTGATTTTTTTGGCTTTAATTTTTGATATGGGAACACATGGAAAATACTCATAGTAACTATGTTTAATTAATGAAATAGAAATATAAATACACATTTTTAAAAACATTTCCCCCTTGCTCCATCCAATGTTTGTCCTGTCCTACTTTTTTTCTGGACTGCAATCCAGAAAAGAATAGCTCTCAGCACATAAAGCTATTTACCTGCAAGCATTAATTCATCATTTCCATCACCATCAATCAATAGAATTAGGAAGCTGGACTCCTAACTGTTCAATTATATTTCTGTTTTGTTGTATGTAATAAAATTTTGTGTGTTTTTATGAGTACTACTGGGCTTTTTTGGCTACATATTCAATATCCCAAAGTAAAATTGTATTCCCTCAGCTCAAGAAGAAGTGGAGTAACATTTCCTGACTGTGACTCCTTCATTAAAGTCATGTCACTACTTATTTATCTGAATAAATTCAGGGCAGATTTTGAATTGTAATTGATGGCTGAGAAGAAGAAACAACAGCCTGTGATGGTAGTATTTGCACCAATTCAGTTTCTCCAGGAGAAGACCTTTTCAAAAAAGGCATGACTCATTACCCTGGGGTCAGTTTTATTTTCTTAAGGCAGAATTCAGTCTTCTTTAGAAAACTTGTCAGAAAAATCCCTTGTGATTTTATTCACCTTTTCTATAGTGGGTAGTGCATTAAGCTTTATTTTCCTATATTGTGCTACTGTATTGGGCTGTAAAAGGAAGAGAGAGAGGGAGAGAGATTTAGACCTTTGAGAAATCTGAAGTAAGTTGCCATAAGTAAGTACTTATGAAGATATTTTGTATAAGATATTATGAAAGAGACATAAAAGGCATATTCCTTCTTCCCTTTCTCTGACAATCCATCATCCATAAGCTATTGCAAAAGAAGAAAAATCCCACCCACTTTATTATTTATTCATTCTTTCTATTTTTATGGCCATTCCTTTCATGGATGCATCTCAGGGCAGCTTACAACATGTTTAAACTTTTTTAAAAATCCAATATTAACAATCACTTTTTAAAAACAACAATGGTCATGAAAGATCAATCCAAATCAAACAGTTAACAGAAACTTGTCAAAGGGGCATCTAAACTTCTGATCCTCAGACTGTGAAACACAGTCATGACAGTTCAGAACAGACAAATGAAACATATGAATAGTTGAGGTTCAAACAGGGAAGCTAATTGATGGAAGATTTTGATAGCAGATTCAGTACACCATAGGGGGGTTAGCATGATTAAGGGGCAGGGCCACTTAAAATGTTTCTAAAAATAGATGAAATAAAACCATTAACACCATTTAGCTTAATTCAGCTAGAAGACTATTATATTTTAATATACATTTATAGTAATCTCCATCCAGCATTTTATGTAATTTCCAGGTTTAAAATAAATTAAGAGTTAATTTAGCTGGCATAAAATCCAACTAGTTTACTGCTAATGTCTGCCAATCAAGCTGCCACAGTTGGCAAAAAGATTAGCAACCCCTGTCTCTCTTTCATTCCTATGTTTCCAAATTCTTCAAATGGCCACAGGCCCAGAAGAAACTAACATGAAAGGAAAGAGTTCTTAAGCATCCACTGATACTAAAAAGGAAGCAGTCTAATTCTCTCTAGCCTTTGGCCACTCTCCTTGGGGATTCTAGGAGTTATAATTCAACACCCCTGGAGGGCACTAAGACTGGTCTTAAACCAGTAGCAATCACTGCATGGATTCTAATTTACTTAGCTATGCCAAGAGGATGTTTAAAAGGTGAAATGAATTGTGCATGCATAAGGCTATACTCAGCGTGTGGTCCTCAATGGAACCATATCTAAATGGAGGGAAATGTGTAGTGGGGTGCCCCAGGGCTCTGTTCTGGGCCCAGTGCTCTTCAACATCTTTATCAACAATTTGGACGAGGGGATAGATGGGGAAATCATCAAATTTGCAGACGACACCAAGCTGGCAGGAATAGCCAACACTCCAGAAGACAGGCTTAGGATACAGGAGGATCTGGACAGACTTGAACACTGGGCGCTATCTAACAAAATGAAATTCAATGGTGAAAAAAGTAAGGTTCTACATTTAGGCAAGAAAAACCAAATGTA